TCTTAGGGCTACCTTAGTATAAGGAATATAACCTAGATATCAGTTAGAAGGATAGTAGCTATCTAGAACTATATAAACTATAGAAGTACCTGACCAATAAAATAGGAAGTATAAAGCAGGAGCTATAATAGGGCAAAGTATAAGGAAATATAACCCCTATAGGCCTACTATAAGAAACAGTCAGTAAAAAACAATAAGCTCTAGATTCTAGAAAACACAGTCTATAACAATAGAAAAAGATATAGATAAATTAGAAAGTCGCTATTGTCTTAGTTAATATAAAAGGGAATCTTATAATTAAGTAATAGATTAGCCTAGTAGAGGTAATAAACATTAAATATAGGGGAGAGAGGATTGATATACTTAAAGTTATAAATGTCGAAGCAGGGAATAATAAGTTCATCTACTATAGTAGAACTATAAAGACTACTATAACCAGTAAAGTTCCCCAGGAATATAAAGGATATTTAGCATTCTAAACCAAATACCTTAAGGGACTTCTAGAATATAGGCCCTAGGACTATAAGATCAAACTTAAAGAAGGAGTATAGCTGAAGTTCTTTAAGGTCTACTATACCAACGAGAAATAGGACGTTGAGTTAAGGAAGTATTTAGATAATAACCTGAAGATTAGGTATATCTAGCTATTAACCTTATCCGTTAGATACCTATTATTATTTATCCTGAAGAAGGATAGGAAACTCAGGATATATATAGATTACCGATAGCTAAATAGTAAGACTATTAAAAATAGGTATCCCCTACTACTAATCTTAAGACTTTAAGACTAGTTGGCTAGAGTATAATATTTTACCTATCTTAACCTATTAATAGTATATACCTATATTTATATCAAGGAGGGGAATAAATAGAAGATAGCCTTTAAGATACCTTATAGATATTTCAAATATTTGGTAATACCCTTTAGTCTTACTAATATATCTATAACGTTTTAAGCTATAATTAACTATACTATTTGACCCTACCTTGATAAGTTTATAATATACTACTTAGATAATATTCTTATCTACTTTAAAATACTTAAGGAATATTAATAGTATATATAGTAAATGTTTAATATATTATATTAATAATAAATGTCGGTTAATAAAGAAAAGAGTGAATTTCATATCTAGAAGATAGATTTCCTAGGCTATAAAATCTCACTAGGCAAGGTTAAGATCAAACCTTAGAAGATCTAGGTGATTGTAGAATAGCTAATGCCTATTAATACTATAGAGGTTTGAGGATTTATTAGGTTTGTGAATTTCGTTTGAATATTTATTTAAAACTTTGGTAATATTATACGACTGTTATATAAACTTACTAAAAAAGGAGCTAAGTTTAAATAGAAGGACATCTAGGAGTAGATATTCAAGAGGGTTTAATAGAGTATCTTAGTAGATCTAGTACTCTTATTACTAAACCCTAGTCTACCCTTTAAGGTAGAAGCCGATATATTGAACTTTATAATTAGAGGATAGCTTAGACAATGGGATAAGAATAGGAAGTTATATCTAGTAGTATTCTTTTTGAAGAAGCTAGATAGTCCCTGTCTTAACTACCTTATTTATAATAAAGAGTTATTCACTATTATCGAAGTGTTTTAAGAAGAAAGGCCTTACCTTAGTAGGACAACCTACCTAGTATAGGTTTATACTAACTATAAAAACCTCAAATACTTTACAACGACTAAGGTCTTGAATAGATAATAAACGAGATAGGTAGAATTCTTATTAGAATTTAACTTTATGATCAACTATAAGAAAGGTATAGAAAATATATAAATAGATGCCCTAAGTAGAAGAACTGATCACTAAGATAGTAATATATTAGAAGACTTACTAGTACTATTATAATAATAGATAGATAGTATACTTTACTATATATCTTATAACTGATTGAAGACTATAAGATTATAGCTGTTTAACGATAGATAGAGGAAGAAGTACCTCTATGACCGTTTATAGAGTATTATACGGTTTTTAGGGAAGAAAGAGGAGAAAGGGAATTTCAGGGAACTATTATTAGTAGGGAATAGGCTAACTGGGAGACAGACCTAGAGGTAAATACCTCTAGCCTATAACTAGATAGAATAAGGCTCTAGCACTATAAAAAAGCCTATATCAGGATTTAAGACTAGAAGGACCTTATATTAGAGGTATATTAGTTAAAACTTAGAGGATATATAGGAATTAGGAAAATAGCTGTTAAAATTAAATAATACTATAATTTCCTATACCTTAAGGAAAGGGTTAAGGAGGTTATTGACGAGTATAACCTCTATAGATAGAGTAAACTAGGATAATATAAACCCTATAGGCTATTATAGCTATTACCTATTGCCGAACGACTATAGAGTTTAGCGATAATAGACTATATTATTAAATTACTGGAATCTAAGGATCCTACAACCTAAGTGAAATAATAGTATTCTTACCGTAGTAGATAAGCTTACTAAATAGATATATTCCCTACTATATAAAGAGACCTAGATAATAGAGTAACTTATAGATATATTCTATTAGTATATTATATTAATCTATACCTGGCTAAAAGAATAGATTATAGACTAAGATATTAAGTTTATATTGAAATTCTGGTAAGTATTTATAATAAGACTTAAAATGAAAAGTAAGCTATTAATAGTATACTATGTATAGATAGATAGCTAAATAGAATAACTTAACCAGATTATTAAATAATACCTTTAACTTTATATTAACTTCTAATAAGATAATTAGGTTAAGCTATTACCTATTATATAGCTAGCTTATAATATAATAGAAACTAAGATAACGAGAGTTATACTATACTTTATAAACTTTAGGTATAAACCTAACCTGAGATTCCTAGGGACCTAATATTAAGGTACCTTAGGCTACTATTAAGGTAGATAAAATAAGCTCGCTATATATTATACTTAAAGAAGAACTTGAGTTTATGAGGAAAATAATAAAAAAGTTCTATAATTAAAAAAAGGCTTAAGGGACCTTACCTAGAAAGGGGGGATAAAGTCTATCTTAATTTATAAAATCTTAAAACTAAACGACTTAATAAGAAACTCAGTTTCAGGAAGATTAGGCTATTTAAATTTAACAAAAAGATTTTAGAAAATAACTATACCATTATACTTCTATTAACTATAAAGCTAAGAATGAACGTTTTTTATATAGTACTATTAGAACTAATGTTAAAAAGCTTATAACTTAGTAAGGATACTGAAGTAGAGGACGAAGAGGAAAAATAGGATATAAAGGTAATTCGAATATTTGGTTAAATAGCTGGACTTTAGGCCTAAGGATAACTTATAGTAACTAGTAGAAAACTTGGTTAACTACCTAGAGAAGTTATAAGATTTCTACTGTTAGAACCTTAATTACCCTATATAACTAGAGAAGACTAGTTAAAACTACTATCGTCGAAGGAAGCTAAAGAAGAACTAGGAAGATAACGGTTAGTAATCTAATCTCAATATCTACTACGTTATATAGGTTACAATAAACAAGTTATATTGCTTACTGGAGAACTCCTAGAGTCCCTTAGAACGAGTAACTATATACTATTTAACTAGGGAATATCTTAAAAGTAACTTATACTATAATTGTAGTAATTATACTATAACTCCTATAATTATTCTTCGGTATTGCTAGTGATCATAGTAATTACACTACAATTCCTATAATCACCCTTATACCTATCCCTGATTAGTCTATACCAGCTGGTCTATATACTAGACCTATATATTAGCTACTATCTATATTGGTTTATAATATAATACACCTTTTAAAAGGCTTTTATCCTAAAAGTCTATAGTACTTCCTATTTCCTTCTTCTAAATAAGTATCGTTACTTTTCTTTCTATATCCTTTATACCCGATAAGATATTACACTATATATCTAAAGCGAAATTATCTACCTTAACTCTCTATATTAACCATCTTCTTTCTGTAATATTATCGTCTAATAGATTATTAGTTATATAGCCTTACTCCTTTTATTTATCGAAAGGCCTTAGCTTTTATAAGGTCTTTATAGCCGATTCTTCCCGTTATACTAAATATATATACTTTAAATATCTGAACTATAACGTCCTTAGTATTTCTCCTATATAACTCTGAACTATTATATCTTAATACTAGAAACTAAAGGATAAGCTTATAGCTATAGGAGGAGCGCTTAGGGCTTTAGGTTATTATAGGGCCTGTAGGGGCCTATAGTAGTAGAGGAGGTAGTTGGGTGTAACGAATCGTCTCAACCACACTCTGCAAGGGTTTACTGAAGGTAAGGTAACTGGGGTTGTGATTCGGTGAAGCCAAAAGGTTCACGACAAGATAGTGATCTGGTCTTAGTGTTCGTAGTAATTAGTAGCGAATAAGTTGTATTGCTTACTGGAGAACTTTCAGAGTCTTCTAGGATGAATGACTATATACTAGCTGTAACGACCGGCTCGCTACTGTCTGCCTGGCTACCCGATGCTACTATACTCCCTTAGGCTGTACCTCCTATAGCTGGCTCAATCTTATAGTCCCCTTATTAGTTGCGTTATACTGTCCAAGCCCTACTAGGCTTGCCCTATATAGTTGGTTTGTAATACAATGCCCCTCCTCTTTGTCTTTCGACCTAAAAGACCTAGGGCACTTCGTTAACTATATCTCCTAGTACTAATACCTTCTTCCTAATATACGTTTTTCCCCTTTTCCTTAACGTCTCTTTCCGCTGTACCGTTATATCTAACCTTATACATCATAGTTCTCGTAACTTAAAGCGGGAGCGTTTTATCTTTATACTATAAATCAAACGATCTAGATTCGAGGTCGATATACCTTATAAATGTTACTGGAATATAAAGCCTTAGAGGCATTACATTATAATAGAGGGCTCGAACAAGTATTCGAGTTATATCTAGATAGGTAAGAAATATAATAGCCCTAACGTGGCTAGTTCCTATAAGTATCTATAGGATTTCTTTTTTTTTAAGTGTATCTTAACGAGTATTTTTAGTACTATCTAATTTATCAGAGCAAAAGAAAGTAGTAAAGGATATTAAAAAGGTAGAGCAAGCGTTAGCTAAGACCCTAAGTCGTTTATCTTATCTCTCTATACTTAATAGTACCTTCTTTATAATTGTAGTACTAAGGTATTCTATTAGGGAATATCTTATCTAAATAAGGAGGAAGAGCTTAATTCTTTTAAGCCGATATTAGAAGAGTAGTCCTTAGTCAGGTAGATATAGTTAGTAGGTACCTATAGTATAATAGACTATGAAGCCTTTAGTTTCCTATTGTCTAAGGAGGCTCCTTCCTTATTAGGTCCTCTATTTATTCTACCCCTTCTTAGGTAAGTTCCTTCTTTGATATTTTAATGAATGAAATAGTTATATAGTATAGTAATAATATATATACCGTTAATTAAACGTCTCTAAATCCCTTTTAGATACTCTAGGATAATTAAATATATACTAAGTTATAGGTTTAATCCCTACTCTAACCTTTTTTTTTTTTTTTTACTATCTTATTATGAATCTTTTGGCTTTACTGGATTACAACCCTTATATCATATCATACCTTCAGTGAACTCTTTCAGAGTGTGGTTGAGAGGTAATCCGATATATTTAACTTTAAATACCTTTATATTATTAGCCTAACGGCCTCCAACTATCCCTCCTTTATAAATATATATTTAGCTATACCTTCAATATATCTCTAATTTAGAACTAACGTTCTAATTCTCCTTCCTTTTACTCCTATATAAATAACGTGCTTTATAAGCGAGCGAGACGTATAAGCGAGCGAGACATATAAGCGAGCGAGACACTAAGTTCTTGGCACGACGCGTCCTTCTTCATCCACCTTCAACAACGCATTTTTCCTACAACTAAAAATGTCTTCGCCTTCAAAGGAAGCTAGGGTAACCTTGGCCCTTAGAGCTCTTGAAAATAACACGAAACTAAGCCTCCGAGCTATAGCTAAGCTCTATAACGTACCAGCTTCAACCCTCGGCCACCGATGTACTAGCCGGCCTATACGACGTAATACTACGCCTAACTCGCGCCGGCTCACTGATTCGGAGGAGAAGGCTATTGTTCAGTACGTGATTGAGCTATCTGAGTGAGCATTTCCACCTAGGCTCGCTGGTGTAGAAGATATGGCCAACTAACTACTCTATGTACGTGATAAGCCACCCGTCGGTAAGCTTTAGGCCTATAACTTCGTCAAACGCCAGCCTACCCTCTATATACGTTATATATATAGATATAACTACTAGAGGGCTAAGTGTGAGGATCCAAAGGTTATTAGTAAGTAGTTTGCCCTTATATAAAACGTCAAGGCCAAGTACAGTATTATAGACGACGATATCTATAACTTCGACGAAACTGGGTTTATAATAGGTATTATCTTCATAGGTATAGTAGTTACGACCTCGGATGGCCATAGCAAAGTAAAGCTAGCCTAGCCTGGCAACTGTAAGTAGGCAACTGTGATATAGGACATCAATGCCCTTAGTTAGGCTATCCCCCCCTTTATCATCTTAGCTGTATAGTACTACCTTACCAACTGGTATACCGAGTGTAACCTCCTAGCCGACTGGCACATTACAACCACCGACAATAGCTGGACTACTAATATAGTCGGCCTAGATTAGATCAAGCACTTCGACTTGTATATAGCACCTTGTAGAAAAGGCAAATACCGGTTATTGATCCTCGACAGCCACGAGAGCTACTACTCGACTGAATTTAAGCTCTATTACCAGTAGAACAATATTATTATACTCTATATACCTCTATATTCCTCCTACCTCCTCTAGCCACTTGATATTGGCTGCTTTAGGCTGTTAAAGCAGATATACAGCCGCCAGATCGAGGACTTAATATATATATATATCAACCATATAAGCAAGCTTAATTCCTCTACGCCTTTCGTATAACCTTCTTCGCCTCTATCACTAAGAGCAATATCCAGGGTGGCTTTATAGGTATAGGCCTTGTTCTATATAATCTATAGAGGGTACTTTCTAAGTTAGATATCAAGCTTTTAGTATATACGGCAAGCCTGGCCATAATGCCCGTACGTGCCAGGAGGATATAGAAGGGTCTAATTCAGCTGTTTCTGATATAATTGTAGTTGGTTCCTAGTGTTTTTGCATTGTAATTGAGGATGGTTGTACTAGTATCGTAAAAAGTGTCTCGCTCGCTTATATGTCTCGCTCGCTTATAAAGCACGTTATTCGATATAGTAAATATTAAGATTAGATCATTATCTTATTATAAACCATTTAGCTTTAATAAATTATAACCTTTAAACCTTACGTTTAATAATCCCTTTTAAAGTATAGTTAAAAACGATTTATTATATATTACTTATTCCCTTTAACTCTATTATAATTTAAATAAAGGTATATTAAATCCTATAAATATGATATCCTTTAATATTAATATGACCTTTGTAAGTAGTAGTATTAAACTTCCTATTAGTAATATAGAAGTTAAAAAACTACTTATTAAACCTTAGAACTAGATTATTAATCTTAAGAAGGAATTTAAGTTTAACTAATAATTATCAATAAAATAAATTATAAGCTTAAGTGCTATAACAGAGCTAAAATCAAATTTAAAGCTTTCAATAGATATAATAGTAAAAAGGAAGACCTTTTACATTTCTTTATTAAAGCTATTATCTATATAAAATATTATGATAATTAATTTAACTTTATATATATTAAAATATACTATATAGCTTTTAGGTTTAAAGTGTAAATTATTTAATAGTTTAAGCCTATTTTATAAGACTATATTAAAAATATGTTAATGGAGTAATAAAAGTTTATCTAATAGGTTTTTAAAGACTATGAATACTTCGAGGCGAAGTTTATAAAGGTATTTAAAAATAAAGATAGAGGTTTATATCTAAGATTAATTAATTAGACTTTATTAAGTCAAATCTATATTTATCTATATTACCTTATTCCAATAAAATATTATTAAAGTTAGGATTAATAAAGTAAGATTAATATCTTTATTCTATAATAGTCTAAAGAAAAGTATTAAAGGGAACAGAATCTATAAGAAGGATAACTTAAAGACCTTAAATAAATATATCGTTAAAGAAAACTACTAAGATAAATGGAGAATTTAAAAGAAAGGAAGATTAAAAGGGTTAAACCTTTAATCCCTTTAAAAAAATAGATTTTATATGTTAAGATAAAAGTATTAACTTTTGAAAAGTAATATTTAAATTAAAGGATGAAGTTTATTATCTTTTATAACATATCTAAAGCCTATTTTAAAATTCACAGACTCCATAGATAGAATGAAGTGTAATAAAAGGTGTTTAATTAAAATTGAAGAAAAGCAAAGAAACTATAAAGGTTTAATAAAAGACTTTTAAATAAAGAAAGAATTTCCTGAAAAATTATTAAATAGTTGAAAGAATATTAAACTATTAATATTATCAATTAAAGAATTAATTAAGATATTGTAGTTTATTAGGAAAACTTAGAAAATAACTTAAAGCCTTTTAAAAGGTTTATTAACCTTTAAACTTAAAAATAAAAAAGTAAATTATATGATATAAAAAGAAATAATATAAATAAAAACCTGATAATAACCCTTTAATTAATCTAATTAAAGTAATTATAATATAAAGGAGAAAGTTAGATATATAACTTTAGATAATAATAAAATAGAAATAACTATAAATATTAGCTTTAATAAATAAAAGAGCTAAATTTAATGATATTAACCTAGCCTTTTTTAACTAATATTAGATCTTTAAAAAAATAAAGTAAAAACTAAAAATTCTATGAAGACCCTTTTTAATATAATGGATGTAAGAGGAAATAAAACCCTTAAATATTAAAATAGAGAGAAAAACTATTTAAATTATGTTTAATATAATAAATATAAGGTTTTAAAAAGATATAATGTCGATATTAATTGAAACAATAATAATTATTTATAATTATATAAACTATAAAAATAGTTAATTAATATAATAAGAAATATAAAATAAAAGCCATAGTAAAGTAATGTATAAAGAAATATAAGCGTTATAGGCCTATTATAGGAAATAATTTAATAAAAAGAATAATACTTTAGATGTTATAATATATGGTATATAATAATAAAAAAGGATATAAATAAACTAGAAAGTTTATTATTATTTTAATACAGATAGAAAGTTTAAAATTAAATCGTAGATTAGGTTGATTAAAGTAATAAATCTTAAATGTAGAGGAAAATAATTTAATAAATTTGAAGTAATAAATAACATCTTTTAAAAATATAAAGAATATTTAATATTTAAAGCTAAATATCTTATAAGTCTTTAAACTATAGACTTTGAGATTATAGAATTAAATTAAAAAAAAGAATTTAATTAAAGTTCTTTAAAGTCCATTATACTAATAGAAAATAGAACAATAAATTAAAAAAATATTTAAATAGTAATTTAAAGATTAGAGATCTTTAACTATTAACTTTATTAGTTGAATATCTAATGTCATTTATTTTTTAAAAAGATAAAAAGCTTTAAATATATATAGATATTAACAGTTAAATAATAAAATAATTAAAAACTAATATCTTTTATAATTAATTTTATAACTATAGAATTAATTAATGATGATACAGTATTTAATATATTTTAACTTAATAACTATATATATCTATATTTATATTAAAGAAAAGGATAAATAAGAAATAACTGTTTAAATACCTTAAGGATAAATATTTTAAACATCTAGTAATCCTTTTCAAATTGATTACTATATTAATAACGTTTTAAAGTATTATTAATAAAATTATTTAACTTTATTTCGATGATTTTATAATATATTATTTAGATAATATTTTTATCTACTTTAAAATATTTAAAAAATACTAATAATATACATATAAGATATTTAAGAAATTTCACTAATATTATTGATTAGTTAATAAGCGAGATATTAAGTTTCATATTTAAATAATTATAATCTAGCTTATGTTAATTATTATTATAGAATTCTAAGGTTTTAGTAGATTTAAAAACTTGATCTAAATATTTATTAAGATAATTAAAGAAATTATATAAATATTATATAAATTTATTAAAGAAGAAGTAGAGTTTAAATAAAAAGATATATAAAAATAAATATTTTATTAATCAAAAGTAGTATTTTAATC